TTCCGGACTATTTTGCACTAATAGCTACCCACCTTCACACCTGTTGGCAACAACGTTGGTCAACTCTACTCGGTAACAAACTTCATTCTATTAAACCGAGCATAGGTTACTGGCCGTCTCCTTGTCATCAGTGCCGAGGTTGGGAGACTACTCTCTCCTGCCTTCGCATTGGCCACACTCATCTTATTCATGGGTATCTCATGGAGAGGCACCCTGTTCCTCTCTGTGAGCAGTGTCAAGTTCCAGTATCGATTAGCCACATTCTGTTAGACTGCCCTCTCTATCAGCGAGCATGTAGAATTTACCTCCAACGTCGTCTCCGTTCTACTACTCTCTCTTTACCTTCCCTTCTTGCTGATGGACCCTCCTTTAATCCTGACTCTCTCATTGACTTCTTAACAACGACTGATTTACTCCACAAACTCTGATGATGATACCTTTCACACTCCCCTCAGCCCTTTCTACCTCAATCTCTTGCTGCCCTCTACCCTTTCACCATCCACTGCCCAGCTGTTCTCCGTAACCTGTTACTCATCCATCTCCCTTTTGCCACCTGATACCCTCGCTTCCTGCCCTGCAGCGCTGTATAGCCTTGTGGTTTAGCGCTTCTTTTTGGTGCAGGGCAGTGGTCACGGTGTAAGGTAGTGGTCACGGTGCAGGGTTGTGGTCATGGTGCAGGGTAGTGGCCACGGTGCAGGGTAGTGACCACGGTGCAGGGTAGTGACCACGGTGCAGGGTAGTGACCACGGTGCAGGGTAGTGACCACGGTGCAGGGTAGCAGTCATGGTGCAGGGTAGTGGTTATGGTGCAGGGTAGTGGCCATGGTGCAGGGTAGTGGTCACGGTGCAGGGTAGTGGCCATGGTGCAGGGTAGTGGTCACGGTGCAGGGTAGTGGCCATGGTGCAGGGTAGTGGTCACGGTGCAGGGTAGTGGTCACGGTGCAGGGTAGTGGTCACGGTGCAGGGTAGTGGCCACGGTGCAGGGTAGTGGCCACGGTGCAGGGTAGTGGTCACGGTGCAGGGTAGTGGTCACGGTGAAGGGTAGTGGTCACGGTGCAGGGTGGCGGTCATAGTGCAGGGTGGTGGTCACGGTGCAGGGTAGTGGCCACGGTGCAGGGTAGTAGTCACGGTGCAGGGCAATGGCCACGGTGCAGGGCAGTGGCCACGGTGCAGGGTAGTAGTCACGGTGCAGGGTGGCGGTCACGGTGCAGGGTGGCGGTCACGGTGCAGGATGGCAGTCACGGTGCAGGGTAGGAGTCACGGTGCAGGGTAGTGGCCACGGTGCAGGGTAGTAGTTACGGTGCAGGGTAGTAGTCACGGTGCAGGGTGGCGGTCACGGTGCAGGGTGGCGGTCACGGTGCAGGGTGGCGGTCACGGTGCAGGGTGGCGGTCACGGTGCAGGATAGTGGTCACGGTGCAGGGTAGTGGCCACGGTGCAGGGTAGTGGCCACGGTGCAGGATAGTGGTCACGGTGCAGGATAGTGGTCACGGTGCAGGATAGTGGTCACGGTGCTTGTAGTGGTCACGGTGCAGGGTAGCGGTCAGAATTTTTTTTTTTTTTTTGTAACCAAAAATCTTGATATAATTTTTTGAACTTTGGTTTAAGCTCAGTGTCATTTTGGAGTGAAATCAGTTCTTCCATCATTGCTGTTTCCTCAGTGCTGATATCCGAGACTGAATTGATCAGCCAGTTCGGTATTTTAAGGAAAAAAGCGACTTTGGACCACAGAATAAAATAAAATTATGCCTCCATGTATAACTCTTGCTAATTTTATTCTTTGTAAAGCATTTGTGCTACTTAAGTGTTTGTGACTTAGATTTTGTCATATAGATTTTCGTTCCGATGCCACCCTGCTGAGTCCTTACTGATCATTTTTCCTCAACGCCCCATGAATCTCTCCACTTCCCCCAGGGGGGCGATACTGCCCACTTTGGGAATCACTGCTGAACAGCATAGAGAAACATTTTCTCCACTGTTCCCATGTGATAAATTGAGAATATCTCCTCTGACTGTCTTCAGACTTATGAAAATGGTGTATCTTAGCGGAAGGGTTTGAATGTAACTGGGTTGTATAGGCGTCAGTTTGGCTATCTTATGCCTCCAAAGAACGCATCGACGTCGTAAGTGATAATTTGGGAAATCATCTTCAAACCCATATCTTTGAAGTGTATCTCTGAATGCTCGAAAAGTTATCGGTGTGGAAACTCCAATTGTTCAGTTTTATTTTAAAATTGTGTAGTAATATTTTTCGTGTAATAATTTGAGAGAACTCTTTGAAACGTTTTCAGACTTTATAACGCAATGATGCATATGATTCTAGCTGTAGCAAGAAACTTTAGACTTCCTCGTTAATTGCCTGGTCAACCAGGCTATTGCTGTTAGGGACCCTAAGGCCCACATAACGATCACAGCTAACCTGACTTGGAACGTGCAGGGCAGAAAATGGTGCAGTATGACAAGCAATTTCTAACTTTTCCCCCCTTTTATCGTATTTCCTGTACGTTTTTGCTTTCCAAATTTATTTCTTCCCTCCAATACTTTTTTTCATATCTTTCATCCTCTGAGCGAGGTCGGTTGTCAACTTTGCTTCACTGGTGTCTACCTGTGAGTTGACTTAGTTATCTCACTCCAGTCGACCAGACGACTTCCTATACATACTATATCGAGTTAAGTCCTACGCCATTCTTTTGCAATGAATAAGTTGGAATTACTTGACTTTTTTTACAACATAATATTCCTGTACCTTAATCAGATGAACTCTTGCATGAAAGAAATGACCTTTCATTTCAGTATCTTTTTTAGAAAATGTCATCCCTAAATTAAAAAAAAAACTAGTAACGAAAACAAATAACTTGAATGTATATTGGATGTTATACTAGTAACAAATAAAACAGCTTACAGCATCATTGTTATCATGTTTATACATATATTACTACTTATTGCTTAAACTGAAGTTGCAGTTTGTTTTTGTTTCTACAGGCATCATACAGTTCCTGCATAACTTTGCACGTTCAGCCCACTGAATACTTCTCGGTATATTGAGTGCTGACGGCTCCTGCTTCCAGTGATTTTTCAATGAGTTCAGTGCTTTTTTGTAAGGTTTCAATATTTCTAACAAATTCTTGAAGTCATTTTCATCGTACATCTGATCAGTAAACCAATAATCTGTCCAGGTGTATGAAATGAATATGCATATCTTCTCCAAAGTCTTCCATCTTGTAGGTAGAATGAATGCAAGAATACCTAGAATGGTTCTTGAATTCCACCTCACATTACTGATGTTTGGGATTTTCTGAAAGTTAATCAAAGGAAAGTGCCCTTTTTCTTCAAAGAATCTAAACACTCGTGTTAGATGGTACAAACATTTATATCTCTCCATCCTGATTTATGGAGGATCTCTTCTGTTCCATTAACAAACTGTGCCTTTAGTTCCTCATAATTCTTCACCAGTTGGAATACAAATGGATACTTGATGTTTGGAGAACTGGTTTCAGCATCAAGATTTTTATCTATTACCAAACGGAGAATCCTGTCCAGAACGTGATGCTGACAACTGATAAATTTTGGTTTGCTAATCCCCTTCTCTTATTATTCTTATTATATTTTTCATTAATTGAGTTGCCATTAGTACTTTCCTGAGTTGCTACTTATGAGTAGTAACGCAGATATATGGTGATTCATTTTTTTTATTTAGGGGTGATCTTTTTTGAAAATGAGAGGAATTAGGAATTTTTTCATTGTTTTTAAACAAAAGTTCATCGATTTATGACACACATGTTTTATTTCGAAAAAAGTAAAACAGTTATAACCCTAATACACACACACACACACACACACACACACACACACACACACACACACACATCATAGTCCAGAACAGGATTCGAACCTGAACACCCTGCATCAAAATACACGGTACTTTTGCCACACACACACAGACCCTAGATATAAGTATGGGCGCCTAGCCAAAGCTAAGCATTTTATCCTACACCCCGGAGCACCAGGCTTGTGATAAGTTATTTCATCAAATCCTGTCTCGTGCACTGAACTTCGAAAGAGATTTTAGAATGCCTAACATGAAATTATTTGCAAACATTATCTCTCAGTCCAGAACAGGACTGGAACCTACACATTTTGCATCAGTGTGGCAAAAGTTTTGTGTGCAATGTGTGCCGGTTCGAGTCTTGTTCTGAACTGAGAGGTAATGTTTGTAAATGATTTTGCTTCTGATAAGGGTAAGACGTCCACTCTTGACAGGCACCACCAGATTCTAAATTCCCGAGAACGTTGAAAGATATAGCTCTTAAAAATAGACTAAAAAAAGGGTCTAGCATTTCACTCGTTTGCCACTGTAAATGCATGTGTATACCGTATGTGTTAGCATAAGACAAATCCTCATTAATATTTCAAAAATGGTAAAATAGTAATATTTATTCATGCTAAATCAAGAAGTCAACATATATCAAGCATTTGTAAGGAGCAGGCCTTAGATTAAAGTACAGAGTGTAGAAAAGACACATTTAGCAGCTGCTTAATCGTTTAATGACTCCGTCATTATAATAACCACAAATTCTAAATTTAAGGTGGGAAAAAAATTCACCTTTTGGAAAAGGGACGAAGGACAATTAAGGCTGGCAGCAATTTAAGTTAACAATGAGAGAAGAATGCAAAATCTGCAAGACAAGCAACCTCTTAATTTCATGCATATTAGCACAAGGCTGTGGCTGGTAACCAATATCTCTGAGTCTATATAAATTATTTATCTTCACAATATTGGTTATATGCAAGTTTCTCTTGAGTATTTTATATGATCACTGATGTGACAATTTACACTGATAACACGCCAGAATATTTTTCTATGCTTGCATTTGAAAATTTATTTCATTGTATTTTTTCCTAAAGGAATATGAATTTCATGCAAAAGACTTAATGAAGAGCAAAACAACTTTCAAAAAGAAATCTGGAAAAATTTATTAGCAAATGAACAAGTGCGGTCTTACCTTAAATATGGGCGAGGAGCTACCCTCCGCCTTGATCGCGAGCAGCTAAAGATAATGAGTTTTTCATTAATGATTACTTTACTAATGACTTAGTTACATATTCCCCTCATCTGAAACTTTTAATTGCAAAGCCATATCTCTGGTACTTTAGGAAAGAGGCATATATATTTTAGGGGTACAAAATAATTGTGGAACCTCGTTACAGTGGTTGCAGGAGAGGGAGAGAGAAGTGTAACGTTGTCACATCATTTTATTTGTTGGTATATGCGTGCTCGCAACAGCACAAAGATAGTGGTAATATTAATTCATCCTGGGTCACCAATGGAGAAACAAACTGAATAGACAATGTGGTACACAGTGCCGGATTTAGAGCAGAGGCCCAGCCAAGCGTATAGGTAAATCCGACACTGGTGGTACAAACCTTGTGAGCAGATCCAACAAATTATTTCGTGGAAACTCAAAAGATCAAGTCTCAAAATATTTTTGTTATTAATGAAATATACTTGACAGGAAAAGCCATTGCTTACCTATCCTTATGCATCTTTTAATGAAGGTTTATCAGGGTAATTCCAGACAATCTAACCCCACTAATTACATAACTTTCACTTTATTTCACAGGCTAAGAGCTGTTAACCTATCGAAAATCATTTCAAGGCCTTGCCATTGCCTGACTAAAAAATCACCAGTCGAGGATCTTTTTCTTTTTTTCGAAAAAAAATGCTTAATGGACTTCATCGGATTCGTTTACATTTATGTACTTTTTAAATCAACATTTAAATCGACATTATGCACTTTAGATCAACATTTAAGAAAGTGAACTCTCAGCCAGATATTATACTCAAAAATCAATACTTACTACACATAGATAGTATTTGTAGACGTATTCAGTAGAATTATGACTCAAGACATTCCACAGACGAGCTTATGAACACATTGAGGATCGACATACCAGAAGGACTGGCTCAACAGCAAAAGCTAATCGGAATAAACCATTGGTAGATGGACACCTTTAGTCATCTCAGTCGACCTCCCAGAAGACCCTAGGGCGGATTTATTTCCAAGTTTTACATTTATGTAAATATTACTCATAATTAATATCTTGTGTCATCTTATTCGATAAATGCACAATGCCGTGACTGGAACAATACATCTATACCCCCACATTGGAGAGAGGTATTACGACGACGCTTCGGTCCGACTTGAACCATTTACAAAGTCACAAGTGACGAAGTGCCTTTGTAAATGCTCCAAGTCGGACCGAAACGTCGTCGTAAGCTCCTCTCTTATACAGTATGTTATCCACATTCTGTTGGACTGTCCACTCTATCAACGAGCACGCAAAATTTACCTCCAATGTCGTCTCCTCACTGCTGCTCTTTCTTTACCTTCCCTTATTGCTGATGGACCCTCCTTTAATCCAGACTCATTGACTTTTTGACAGCAACTGATTTACTACACAAACTCTGATGATGTCTCTAGCATTCTCCTCCGTCCTTTCTACCTTAATCTCTTGCTACCCTCTACCCCTGCACTGTCCCGCTGCACTCCATAAACTACTAATCCCTCTCCCTTTTGCTACCTGACACTCCCATCCATGCCCTGCAGCGCTGTATAGCTCTTGTGGTTTACCGGTTCTTTTTTGTTATAATAATCCCCTGCATCCTTCCCTGCCCTGCTGCGCTGTATAATCCTTGCGGTTTAGCGCTTCTTTTGATTACAATAATAATCCTTTCTCCTATTTACCTGGAGATTACCTGGAGAGAGTTCCGGGGCTCAACGCCCCCACGGCCCGGTCTGTGACCAGGCCTCCTGGTGGATCAGAGCCTGATCAACCAGGCTGTTACTGCTGGCTGTACGCAAACCAACGTACGAGCCACAGCCCGGCTGATCAGGAACCGACTTTAGGTGCTTGTCCAGTGCCAGCTTGAAGACTGCCAGGAGTCTGTTCGTAATCCCCGTTATGTATGCTGGGAGGCAGTTGAACAGTCTCGGGCCCCTGACACTTATTGTATGGTCTCTTAACGTGCTAGTGACACCCTGCTTTTCATTGGGGGGATGTTGCATCGTCTGCCAAGTCTTTTGCTTTTGTAGTGAGTGATTTTCGTGTGCAAGTTCGGTACTAGTCCCTCTAGGATTTTCCATGTGTATATAATCACGTATCTCTCCCGCCTGCGTTCCAGGGAATACAGGTTCAGGAACCTCAAGCACTCCCAGTAATTGAGGTGTTTTATCTCCGTTATGCGCGCCGTGAAGGTTCTCTGTACATTTTCTAGGTGAGCAATTTCACCTGCCTTGAAAGGTGCTGTTAGTGTGCAGCAATATTCCAGCCTAGATAGAACAAGTGACCTGAAGAGTGTCATCATGGGCTTGGCATCCCTAGTTTTGAAGGTTCTCATTATCCATCCTGTCATTTTTCTAGCAGATGCGATTGATACGATGTTATGGTCCTTGAAGGTGAGATCCTCCGACATGATCACTCCCAGGTCTTTGACGTTGGTGTTTCGCTCTATTTTGTGGCCAGAATTTGTTTTGTACTCTGATGAAGATTTAATTTCCTCGTGTTTACCATATCTGAGTAATTGAAATTTCTCATCGTTGAACTTCATATTGTTTTCTGCAGCCCACTGAAAGATTTGGTTGATGTCCGCCTGGAGCCTTGTAGTGTCTGCAATGGAAGACAGTCATGCAGATTCGGGTGTCATCTGCAAAGGAAGACACGGTGCTGTGGCTGACATCCTTGTCTATGTCAGATATAAGGATGAGGAACAAGATGGGAGCGAGTACTGTGCCTTGTGGAACAGAGCTTTTCACCGTAGCTGCCTCGGACTTTACTCTGTTGACTACTACTCTCTGTGTTCTGTTAGTGAGGAAATTATAGATCCATCGACCGACTTTTCCTGTTATTCCTTTAGCACGCATTTTGTGCGCCATTACGCCATGGTCACACTTGTCGAAGGCTTTTGCAAAGTCTGTATATATTACATCTGCATTCTTTTTGTCTTCTAGTGCATCTAGGACCTTGTCGTAGTGATCCAATAGTTGAGACAGACAGGAGCGACCTGTTCTAAACCCATGTTGCCCTGGGTTGTGTAACTGATGGGTTTCTAGATGGGTGGTGATCTTGCTTCTTAGGACCCTTTCAAAGATTTTTATGATATGGGATGTTAGTGCTATCGGTCTGTAGTTCTTTGTTATTGCTTTACTGCCCCCTTTGTGGAGTGGGGCTATGTCTGTTGTTTTTAGCAACTGTGGGACGACCCCCGTGTCCATGCTCCCTCTCCATAGGATGGTAAAGGCTCGTGATAGGGGCTTCTTGCAGTTCTTGATGAACACGGCCCCTCAAGGAAGGTTCCTTGATGTTGGTGAGGGGCTCTTGATTTAGGGAATTGGATCTGTGCTCCAGTTCCCCGAATTAAGCCTGAATGCCTTCCACATCCCCCCCCCCCCCAGGCGCTGTATAATCTTCCGGGTTTAGCGCTTCCCCCTTGATTATAATAATAATAATTGATGAACACGGAGTTCCATGAGTCTGGCCCTGGGGCAGAGTGCATGGGCATGTCATTTATCGCCTGTTCGAAGTCATTTGGCATCAGGATAACATCAGATAGGCTTGTGTTAACCAAATTCTGTGGCTCTCTCATAAAAAATTAATTTTGATCTTCGACTCTCAGTCTGGTTAGCGGCTTGCTAAAAACTGAGTCATATTGGGACTTGAGTAGCTCACTCATTTCCTTGCTGTCATCTGTGTAGGACCCATCTTGTTTAAGTAAGGGCCCAATACTGGACGTTGTTCTCGACTTTGATTTGGCATAGGAGAAGAAATACTTTGGGTTTCTTTCTATTTCATTTATGGCTTTTAGTTCTTCCCGCGATTCCTGACTCCTATAAGATTCCTTTAGCTTAAGTTCGATGTTTGCTATTTCTCTGACCAGTGTCTCCCTACGCATTTCAGATATATTGACCTCTTTTAGCCACTCTGTTATTCTTTTCCGTCGCCTGTAAAGGGAGCGCCTGTCTCTTTTTATTTTACATCTACGACTCCTTTTTCTTAGAGGAATAAGCCTTGTGCATACATCGAGTGCCACCAAGTTAATCTGTTCTAGGCATAAGTTGGGGTCTGTGTTGCTTAGTATATCTTCCCAGCTTATATCAGTTAGGACTTGGTTTACTTGGTCCCACTTTGTTTTTGTTATTGAAGTTGAATTTGGTGAATGCTCCCTCGTGACTAATCTCATTATGTCGGTCTGGGGCTCCGCGCATACATGTCTGAACCTCAATTATGTTGTGATCTGTGTATATTGTTTTTGATATGGTGACATTTCTTATCAGATCATCATTTTTAGTGAAGATGAGGTCTAGTGTATTCTCAGTCTAGTAGGCTCTATTATTTGCTGGTTAAAACTGAATTTTGTGCAGAGATTTAAAAGCTCGTGTGAGTGTGAGATTTCATCAGAGCTGCCTCCTGGTGTTATTACTGCAACAATATTATTTGCTGTATTCCTCCATTTTAGGTGCATTAAGTTGAAATCCCCCAGGAGCAAGATGTTGGGTGCAGGAGCTGGAAGATTTTTCCAGACAGTGGTCAATTTTTAACAGCTGTTCCTGGAATTGCTGGGATGTTGCATCCAGAGGCTTGTAGACTACCACAATGACTAGGTTTTGGTTCTCGATCTTTACTGCTAAAACTTCCACTACATCATTTGAGGCATTAAGCAGTTCTTTGCAAACAAGTGACTCTGCAATGTACAGGCCAATCCCCCCCCCCTTTTTGCCTGTTCACTCTGTCACATCTGTATAGGTTGTAACCTGGGATCCATATTTCGTTGTCTAAGTGATCCTTTATGTGGGTCTCAGTGAAAGCCGCGAACATTGCCTTTGCCTCTGCAAGCAGTCCACGGATGAAAGGTATTTTGTTGTTTGTTGTTCCAGGTAAACATGTATATTTGCAAAGAAGAATGTCATCGGACTGGTGGTATTGTTGGTACTGGGGGGGGGGATTTTTTTTCCGGCATTAGTATCTGTATCTGTTGGTTTGGAGTGGAGGC